GACCGCTCTGCAGTCCGGTGTGACAGGAGACTAGGAGTGACACAGAACTCTTCATGGCTGAAAGGTTGGTTCACCTGGCAGCAGTGGGGGATGTCCTCTGATGCATGCCTTTGGACCTCTCATCACAGAAAGTATGACAGCAAAAAAAAAACAGAACGATCTCATGGAGTATATATAAGTTGAATCAGGAGTTATGCAGGTTTTTGGTAAGTTTACAGCCTCTAGGTCTGTGCAACTGTTGTAGACAAAGAGGCTGTTGTCGCATCGACCACGCTGGTCTGGCCAACCACCTTGAGACACAGTTAGTAGAAGGAAGCGTACGAACCTCGCCTGGCCATTTGAAAACAGAGCGGTACACATTTTAAAGATAAAATTTAGCTTAAAACGAAAATGTGGCAGATTCAATGAGATCCCAATGTGATATAAAAAACCTGTCTATTCCTGAAACAACGCAGTGAAGTACGAAATGACCAAAAGGTTGGCAGTGTACTAGTTAAAGAAGCTTTTGCCCTTTACCTATATTATTTCCAGTTTCTTTCGGTAGTAATGTGTTATACGGATTGTGAGGTTTGTCGCAGAGAGCGTTATCTCAAGCCATCCACATCATGTGAGGTCAACTATGCAGCCAACCAGACTCCATATAGACATCAGTAATTTTGAGCCTTGCATAAGTTCCAGGCGACAACAATGGTGGTGTAAATTCATAGCTTGCATGGCTAATATTGTTTGCTGCTGTATTATATGTTTAGTGACTCAGTTATAGGTATAGACCTTTAAGGCTTATATATGTCTATATTTATATCTAAGGGCTAGTTATAGGTAACCTCCATAAAATAACTACTATTGGACTGCTCATATTAATGACGACTGTAGACAAGCTAGTTCCACCACTATCAATGATCTATTTTCATATTCTTCGAAGGGTCGCAGAGAGCAGAGGAATGGTGAAAAAGCCGACAAGTGTTGTAGTCGGATACAGCATGTGATTGGGACGTGACCCTGCTGAGTGTGAATGAGCCGCAGCTGAGACCAAACAGCATAGTCAGTTGAGGTACGTGTACAGAGTCCTGCACAGCCATGGGTGGGCATATAGACACATAATTCAAGTGCAGCCCTGCTTTTTTTTCCCGTCGAAAGATATGATAATCTCGTGATATACGCTCAGCAATCGGCTACAAAGGTGAATAGTGCATGTAATTTTCTTACTAATACTTATTACTGATATGACTCAGAGAAATTTCTCTTCTCTCCCCTCAGTTTTGATTTAAAGGCGCGCCACCTAACACTATCTAACTCACTTGAGAAACTCTGGGAACATATTAGAACGATTGGCGCGGCCTACAGGCATTGATTTGTGACATCATAAATGTTACCATGAGACGACCAGACAACGTAGACAGCTGAAGAAAGTGAGGACTTTACAGTGAAGTGTAGGAGAAGCGTGTGGTGATCCGCAGGGAAAAAGCCTTAGACAATGCATCTACACATTTGAACTAACATTCAGAGATTCTGACATTGCTTCCATATATAGGAGAAGGGAAGAGGGAAAGTATGCAATCTATGGTTAAGGATTTCTGGCATGAGAAGAATCTGAGCTTGTAATATTATATAATCTCTCTCAGAGCCTAAAAACATAATAGTCGGACACACTAGGCAAATCTACTTTAGTTCCAACACGCATTATATAAAATCTGTAGTGTACCTCAACAATCTATGTCTCGGAGGGCGATCCTTTCAACGAATTGAGACGCCTGTTTTCTTTGACAAACAGGGCGCGAGACTCATGGTGGGATTAGACGAGCGCGCGCGCGTCACCTACAAAAATAAGTGTGGCTTAATTAATTGTACCAGTGGCTTGGATTAGAACATTTGTTAACTGATGTGGTAGGAGAGCGAGCGCTCATTTCGCTTGCTATGCCGTGTTATGTCGGATATGAAGTGGAATGATTGGACACCGTTTGTACGAATATAATTGGTGTCATTGAAGGCCAAAGTAGTCATACTCGTCTCTACAAAGACACCTTGATTGTAGCAGCTCAGAGGTGAGCGAGCCCAAGACCCAAACTGTACAATCAATAACATCATAGACATTTGGTAAGGGCAATAAATGCAAAGTTGTAACATGTCCACACCTGGACTTTAGTGTTGCTTATCTTCTCTTTAATTCTTATTGTGGAGTTTATTTTTATATTTTAAAAGTACTTTTAAAGTGAGGGGGGTTTTTTTTTGTGTAATTTATGTAGTGGCATTGGGACTCATTGAGACATTTGGCCATGCACCTCAAGAGCGAGTGCGGTGTAGGTGTTTAAAAACTTATCTGGCAATAGAATAATTCTGAGAATTTGTGTATTGCGCGATGTCAGCTTGATAAAGACTTGTGAGCTGGGCTTGGAGGCTGCAAGAGGGCAGCAGCGTAGAGACACGGAAAACATGCGGCAGCATGAGGCATCTGGACCGCACCTCGGCCGTTGACAAGAACCACATTGGTGTGATGGACCAAATACACATATACACGATACATATATATCACCGGTAGAAAGAGCTCACAGACAGACAATACAAACTCCTTCGGTCCACAAAGGATGAACTTATCCGGTATCTAATGGTACTCTATTCATCTGTATCGGGTGTATCGTAATCTAGTCCTATCTACTCGGTAATCTCACGTATCTATTTCCTCTATTGTACTCATAAGGAAGTCAGACTCTTACTTTGTGTCTTTTGAGCGGGTCCAGGTTCATTACTGAAGTATGGAGGAGAATCTTTGGACCAATCACTCTTCATAGACAGACAGCTGGACACTGGAGACTCTGCTCTCTGTCTGTGGCGCTGAACTCTGAAAATGAAGATATTTTGATTCAGTTCATGATAAACAGTAGTTTCTGTCCTGTAGCCTTTCACCTTCAATGTGTGTGATGACATTATTACACTGAAGGTGACGCAATGTGGCACGAAGTTCACAAAGTCCTATTAATTTTCAATGACACAGTGTGCATTGCTTTGTAAGGATTGCCGACAGAGGATCGAGCAGTGATCGAGTGACTTTTCTCATTGCTGGGATCCTCTTTTCTATGTTCCTGCCCGCCACGATCACAGATACAAAAACAAAGTGCTCCTCAGAACTAGAGTTGTTCAGATGCCAATACCAGCTTGGGAAATTCAGATTTCAACAGGTAGATTCAGTGAGATCAGTCTCTTACTTTGTGTCTAAGGGTCCAGGTTCATCACTGCAGTCTAGAGGTCTGTCTTTAGACAGGTCACAGCTGGATCCTGGAAACTCTGGTCTGTCCTGTTTCTGCATATCACTCATCTTCAGCCAGTCTGTGAGGAGAACCAGGTATACCAGAGACACAGTGGACATCAGAGGAACGTTAGAGTCACTTAGACAAAATAGTTGAGACTGTATCTAAAATGACTTTCACTCCCTCCTGTTTCTGAGTGCATTGGAAGAAGTAAAATCTGTCCTATATCTACAGCACTGACCTCTGTCCTGTATCTACAGCACTGACCTCTGTCCTGTATCTGTCCTGTCCTCTGTAACTTAGTATTATTGTCAAATGGTCTAACTGAAATCAATAAAGCTGCTGTGACCCGTGCGTAAAAGCGCACAGCCTCTCTCTTAATGGGGATAAACTTTCCCCTAATCCAGCCTCAATCCATCCGCTATTAATCCCAATGTTATCTTATATTATATTATATTAAATGTATTAATAACCAGCGCATCAGATCGATCTCAGTGCTGCAGATTTAACCAAGAGCCGCTCATCAACCACTCCAGCAGATCAGATCGGCAGTCGCTTCACGTGACGCTGCAGAGGAAAGGACTTCTCAGTTCTCTAAAGACACATTTCCTCTTTCCCTCTTTCCTTCCTTCCTTCCTTTCGTTTCGTTTCCGACGCAAGTGACGGAAAGGTGGATGTTATTAAGCGACATGGGACACCGCCCTGGTCTGTCACTGTGACTCAGCAGTTCCATTAAAGGTTTGAATCCTCTCGTGTTTCAGGTTGATGCAGAACAAAAGCTCTTTAGACTTTATTTGATACATACGTTTGTTCATGATGTTTGAAGGTCTTTTCTCCCTTTAATACTCTGATCAGACTGTCTGTCCTCAGCTGTGAGCTCACTGAGGAAACTTCCTCTTTGATTTAATAATGTTCAAACTCTAATGATAACGTTTTTAATCTTCAGTAAAGTGAAGTCAAACACACACAGCTGAACACTGACCTGTTGTCTTCTTTCTGCTGTCTGGACACCTGACTGAGCACTTCCTTCCTTTAAGTTTTATTGTAGGTCGGCAACCAGATTATATTATTATTATTATTATAGGTGCATTACTGCCCCCTGCTGGACCGGAGTGTGGAAGAGTAGATCACAGGGAAACCCCCAGTCAGATCGAACTATTTTCTCTCTAATATTCCTGTTATTATAATAATTATAATAATTAATTCAAAATAATTCATTATTATTATATCAATGGTGATATTAATTTGCTCCTTTCTTGATCATATTCACTGCAGAAACAACACATAAATAATAAACACCAGGGAGACAAATAATGTAAATAACAAAGATTAAAACCTCAAAACTAAGTCTATAACGTTACTCCACAGTAAAAGCCAGAAGAAAAGATAGTTTTTTAATTTCCTTTTAAAAACACAGAGAGAATGTGTGACTGGACCAGTTTTTATTTGGGTTTTCAGAAACAGAAAAGAAACAATTAAAGACACACCGGCATGACCTTGTATCAATCATATAACCAAAACAATCTCCGAGATATCAAAAACAAAGAATACTTCATAAATAATAAAAAATAACAGGTACTAAT